GTCCACAAGTACGGCCGCTCGCAGCTCCCAGTGGCTGCAGTTTGCCATTTCTGACCAATGGGAGCTGTGTGAAGTGGCGCTGGCCGGGCCACCACTTCCCACAACTCCCATTGGCCGGAAACGGCGAACCACAGCCACTGGGAGCTGCGAGCGGCCGTACTTGTGGACGCTCAGGTAAACAAAGCATCTAACCACCTGCTAGGGGCTTACCCTGAACAAGCTGCAAACCAAGTTTGGGAACCCCTGGTGTAGTGGATGGGTTACATTGGTGAGAGCTACATTTTAGTGTAGACACGAGTTAGGTCAACGTAAGGCAGCTTATATCAACCTAACTCTGTAGTGTAGACCAGGTCTAAGTGTTATGCTAATCTCACACTCCATGCTAAACAGGCCTCAGCTCAACTACTCACATTCCTGCTATTGTATGATGAATAGAGTAACATCCTGGGGTTTGCTCAGCAGTTTTAAAAATGAGAGACAGAAATGCTTTAGGTAAAGTTTTCCCCAAGTCTGTTATACAACACCCTTCCTCACCACAAATCACAGAAAAACTGACATAGTATGAAGCTGAGTAATCTACAATATCAAGGAAAGAAAAAGGAGGCCTGATTCTGATCTCCTGAGTTATACTAGTATAAATGAAAAAGTCAGACCCTCAATTTTATGCCCTTTGCACAGGTGTAAACTGTCACATCAGGGGTAACATAGTAGAGAATCGGGACCTATGTATTTATTGAAATGGACCTTACTTGTTCAGAAAACTGTCCTGGCTTCACTTGAATTTTATGCCCCCAGGTAATGGCTTAGCTACTTCAGTTTCTTCAGTAGCTTTGTCCTCGGCAGCAGACCCCCTCAAGCATGCTACATTGTGTGGGACAGGCAGGCTGTCCCTGCTGGTCTGACTCAGTTGGAGAGACGGCCTTATGCTGGGTCTCTTTCTGCTCCTTGGAGAGGAAGGAGAGAAGCGAGAGGCATCCAAGAGAGGGACCCAAAAGTTATCTAGGACCCAATGGCTGTCTTTTGAGATATGGGAGGCCAGAGGGGAGGAAGTAGCTGGATGGAAGGAAGAGAAGAGTGGGCCTTAAGCTGCTGCACTCTTCACAGCTCGCTACAGTACAGTGATTGGTATCAGTTGGCAAATGTCATTTTAATGGCAAACATCTATCCGAGCTATTGCCTGTTAGAATTATAGGGGGGAAACTGGCCATCTGAGAAACCACCATGTGGATACTGTTAGCAAATGCTGTATAGCACAACTATAAACAGACCCAGGCACAACCTAGCAAAATTCCTCCACCTAATTAAAGGTCTGACCTGGATCCAAGTTCAAGGGTGTTTTGGTTCTGGACCATCTCTGCTTCTAATCCCCATTTCTAGAGGTGTTGTAGTAGCTGATATAGGTAACTATGAACCACCTTCTTGCTATAACTGAAAACTACAGGAAACAAGTTTTCACAGTCATGGATTTCAGTCTCTAGGGTTGGCTAATTATATTTCTCCATGGATAAAAAGAAACCATTTAATTTCAGTTTGAATAACTTACTTTATAAACATGGAAAAACAAAAAAGCCTCCATGAGAGAGCCTGCTCTGTGACATGTAACAGAGGGTCCTGTGGCACCTTTGAGACTAACAGAAGTATTGGGAGCATACGCTTTCGTGGGTAAGAACCTCACTTCTTCACTTGCATCTGAAGAAGTGAGGTTCTTACCCACGAAAGTTTATGCTCCCAATACTTCTATTAGTCTCAAAGGTGCCACAGGACCCTCTGTTGCTTTTTACAGATTCAGACTAACACGGCTACCCCTCTGATACTTGATCTGTGACATGCCGCATCAAGTCTGCCGCATCAAATAGCAGCTGCTCTGCATACAAACCCTTTAGAAACTGAAAGGTACAATACATAGAAAACCAGTTGTAAGTTACAGAAATGCATATACCATATCAACTGGTCTGGAAATTGTGCCTAAATCTTCTGTGAAGATTTAATTTCACACCTAAATTGATGTAGAATCGCCTCCCCCCTCTGTTTTCAGAGATACTGAATTTGTCATAAGTAGCACCTATGCATTAGTAGTGAGCATCCTCTTTGAAAATGCACCACACCAACTTTAAAGTGCACCTTTTTAGGCATCTGAATAGCAGGTTACATGTAAAGTTGCTATAAAAAGGAGGATTTTCTACAGCTGCTGTCTGATTTCACCATTCATTTTAATTATAGCTCATCTGATTGGTTACATTATGAAATATACTGAAACTATGGTGCCCTTGGTCAAAGAAACATTCAGTGAAGATAATTGTTGTCCTATTTTATTACTAAAGTTATTGCAAGGTTATATAATAACTTGTATGAATTACCGGTAGTGCTGAATATTTTGCCTTGCCAGCAGTAATATAAGCCAACTATTTTGCCCTTGACCTACAACAGTTTACATAAAACATGACAGATTTACAGGAAGAACAGGACACTTTCCCCATAGTTTGAAGAATTTTGAGCATCCATAGAAAGAAAAGCAGTTTAAAGGCAAACCAGTACTTTAAGCTCAGTTGTGTTCAAAATGAATAGTGGGAGAAGCGTATTAGAAGATTGGTATGATATTTATTAGGTTATAACGACATTAAAGCATTTAACTGTGGTGTATGTATAAATCTTTCCTATCTAAAGTGTATAACTATAATATACTGTGACACTCTGCATATGGCTTTTATATTTATACACGATGTGCTTCTTAATTTATTGACTTTCATAAAATACCTTAAAGATGAATATACAAGAATGTCTTTCCTACATACATATTGAAATGTATTTTTTAAAAAAACTTTAAACAAATAGCCAGATAAATATACAGCTGGCCAGATAAATAGGTAAATGGGTTGGACTGTTCTCCAGTTCTGACAAAGAATCTTGTATCACAATGTATTTAAAATAAAAAGTCTCCTCTTACTTTTTTTTTTTAAATGAGCTCAGTACAACAGTAAGCACAATACTTTCGTATTGCCTGATAATATACATTTCCCTGTATTACAAATACTTACTGATGCTACCCACTGATTTTCTTTCCATGACACCTTGTATGTTTATTTTTCAAATTGAGGGCAAAAGGTCCTATTGTTTTATGTAAACGGTAATAAGTCAAGGGCCTTATAGCTGACATTGCACTGCTGGCAAAGCAAATCTGCAGGATCAGGGCCTTTCTATGCAAATAACATCTGTCTTTTAAGGTGGTAATTTGACATACCTGCTTGACAAATTGTACACTTACTTTATAACTAGCTAACAATATATTAAAACTTTAGTAGATAATCTGGTTATATATATGCGCATGAGGTGCTGAGATGGTCTACGTTATTTTTCATTAATTGTATTAATTTTAAAATGTATATCAGCATTTTCTAAATAAAAGCTATGAATAAATATGAAACATCTTGAAATTAATTCATTTCACTTAGTTTTCTGCATTTGAAAGAATACCAAGGCTTTTTTAAAATTATTTTAGGCATGTGTTTAATATCCTCTGTAGAAAGTGAGAAGGCTGAGATAAAGTGAATCATAAATTAATACTTGTGGATTATCAGAATGTAAGATGTAGAGTCACTTAGTTTATATGACTGTGTCCAAATGAGTGGCAATCACCAGTTGATGCTATCTAAAAGTCTAAGTTGTGTTTAATTAAATGTTTGGGCAGATAGAGCTTGGTGAAACGCTTGTTGATAGTTAACTAGTTATTGATTATTAAACATTTAAATTGTGTTGCAATGCAGTTCTTTTGGAAGATGTTGCTAATAAACATTTGATCCCTCCTTCAGCTTCTCTGACTAGAATAATGTCTTAGGTTCAGTTTGGATGCCTACAACTTATACCCACACAAGAAGGATGCCTATCCTTTATATCCAAATAAGAGAATATAAATATTATCGTGTGTGTGGCGGGGTTTTTTTTTTTGTTTTTGTTTTTTAAACTATGGTGTCAAAACTCCTAAAAGTGCAGAAACAGTCTAAGGAAAAGACCTGGCTAATAAGGAGTTTAATGAACTCCAATAGCACAGGGTGGGACTATTAAGGCTGCAATCATGTAATGAGATACATGCAAGTGGACCCTTATTACTTCCAGTGCATTGCAGGGGGTCAGTATACATGCATCCCATTGCAGGCTCATTCCTCAATAATTAGAATACAGTTTTCAGACACAGTATGAAACCCTTTTGTAAAAAAGGCAGCACAGAATGACCAGGGCAAGATGAAAATATAAGTGGTAGAGGAGCCCTCCACATTACCAAAATCTTATCTATTGCAATTTAAAAGAGCAACCACATCATACGGCAGAACAGTCATCTTTAAGCAACATATAGCACCATCCAGTGTACTTCCCCAATAAACTCACATTGGGACATGAAGCATTATTTAAAAGGGAGATTTTTACAAGGGAAAGTGTTATGAAGTATTAGAAATTAAATTGCATTTATATTACCATCTTCCATGATGCATCATCAAAACTCCTTATCGGGAGAGAGGGCTAGGAGAAGGAAAAAAATATGACTAGGCAAATATATAGGAGCAGTGCCCATATTATTTTAAGTTATTTTAATTTTTTTAAATCTGAAGGAGTCATGATGGCCTGTGTTGTATGTGTACAGACTGTTTTGTTTAACACATTTGTACATTTTCTAAAACAACAAGCTAAAGACTGTCACAGCCACTGCAGTTAATGAAGATGTGGGGATCTTCTACAAAGATAATATGAATTCAATGAGAATGCAACAGCTATGATAGTTTAAGTGCTGAAAAATGTAGTGTCCTATTAACTCTTCAGAAAGTTGAACATATGAATTTCTAGTGCTATTTATGTGCCAAGCAAAGCAAATCCCACTGCAAAATGAAAATTTCATATTCTCCAACAGAACCTTACACATTAGACTGGTGTGAACAGTGAAGCAAAGATAGTTTGGGTGGAGAGTGGATGCAGTCCACTATGTCAGTCCCCTCCCTGACCTGAGACCAGTATGCTTTTGTCTTGTATTTTTCTTTTTTTTTTCTACTACTTTGCATGTTTACTTTCACTAATTTCAGAATAATACTGTCTGAAGAATCTCTTGGGACATTTTTGTATGCCAGACAGTTTTCCAGCTGGAAACGTATACTGTGTTGAAATTTGAGAAGAACATGTTTATGGCCTAGGAAGTGCAGTATCTGAGACAGATTGTGCTTTTAAGGCTCAGTCTAGGGTTATTGGGTGCAGAGGGGCTGCATTGTAGAGGGAGCTCCAGGAGCAATTCTTGCTGATGAGGCTAGAAGTCTTGGAGGGAGCACACACAGTGGTGAACCCCTCACCTACCCTTTGCCCTTTCACAGCCTGCCAGCTCTGGAAAGGATGGGCATGGACCCTGACTTCTGAGGACACTGGTGCCTAGCCTACTAGTGTGTAAGTACATCAAAATAGCAATATTTTTCTACTGAACAAAATTATATGTTCCACTAGTAGACAAATGTTAGATATGTCAATGTATTAAACGTAAACATAAATTGAACAAAACAATGAATAAATATAACACATTTATTCAACATATTGCTTTGTTTGTAACTGATGACATCATAAAAATATGCCCACTATGTTAAATCAAGAACTGTTCTTGTACTAAAACTACTGCATTTGATATGGAACAAATCATTCTCACTCCTATACCCCACGTTTACCCAAAACCCCAGGCTCTCCCTTTGCTTATACCAACCCTTATATCAGCCAGTTTCTACCTCTGCCTCCTTCTCCTCCCCTTGATCTCATTGCCTCCTGCCTAGTTCTCATATTTAATTCAGTCTTACACTCATTGAAGTCATTGGCAAAGCTCCCATTGACTTAAATGGCACAGATGGGGCACTTACAAAATGGGTAGCCATCTTAGGCCTGGCCTACACTATGGGGTTAGGTTGAATTTAGCCATGTTAAGTTGATTTAAAAATGAATGCATCCTCACAACCAACCCTGTTACACTGACCTAAAGGCTCTTAAAATTGATTTCTGTACTCCTCCCTGGCAAGGGCAGTAATGCTAAAATCATCTCTGCTGGGTCAAATTTGGGGTAGTGCAGACGCAAATTGACAGTATTGGCCTCTGGAAGCTATTCCAGAGTGCTCCATTGTGACCGGTCTGGACAGCACTTTGAACTCTGATGCACTAGCCAGGTACACAGGAAAAGCCCTGGGAACTTTTGAATTTCATTTCCTGTTTGGTCAGCGTGACTAACCCAGCAGCACAGGTGACCATGCAGTCCCCCAGAATCGTAGACCATAGAATGTTTCTATGCTACCCCTATCATCTCCGTCCCTGAGGTTATCGCAGATTAGAAGGCCAAAAAAAACCCAACGCACTCACGATGACTTTTTCCGAGCTCATGCAGTCCTCCTGTACTGATAGGGCACAGCTTAATGCATAGAAGCATTCAGTGGCAGAGGCCAGGAAAGGATTAAGTGAGCACGAAAAGCGGAGGCAGGACGCAATGCTGAGGCTAATGAGGGAGCAAAAAGACATGAAGTGTCTGATGAAGGAGCAAACGGACATGATGAAGCGTCTGATGGAGCTGCAGGAAAGCCAACAAGAGCACAGACCCCTGCGGCATCCACTCTATAACCGCCTCCCCTTCTCCCCATGTGCCATAGCCTCCTCACCCAGATGCCCAAGAATGTGGGGGGGAGGCTCCGGGCACCCAGCCACTCCACTCCAGAGGATGGCCCAAGCAACGG